TGGTCTAAAATCGATAAGAGTAGGCTTCGGCCGCCACCCGGGCAAAATTCAAAATTTCCTACCAACTGAAAATGTTAGGATTGTCCCGCGCGCTCATATGACCTATGCAGTTGCGAGCGCCGTAAAACACTTTACAAAAACACAAAAAAAAACTTCTCTGGAGCAAACATTGGCATTTATGGCTCTCCAAATCCTCTTTTTCATCAAGGCCCTTCAAGAATGCTTTGTTGTTCATTGTGTTGTTAGTTGTCCAGGCGTGTAGGCTATTTACAAATCTTGTGCGTTGGCATCGGAGGCTTTTCTTCCTTCGATTTTTTTTCTGTCATACTCAATTTTTTTTGTTCTAACCCTCTTTTTTTGAATACATGCTCAAAGGATTTTTTCCGTTATTTCCTTATTGTATCGATGTTTGCCAGTTCCAGTATTTCTTGGTCTGCCTTTTTTCTGTCCATGATATTTTCAGCATTCTCCTTAAGAACCACATTTCTGTTGCTTCTAATTTTCTCTCAGTGTAGTTTTCAATTGTCCATCACTTACATCCAAAGGAAAGAACGGATCGAGTGAAGAAAACACGCTGCAGGCAAAATTAAATACGACAAAAGAAAACACAATACAATAACACACCTATACAAAAGAACTGATAAAATGAAGAGAAACATACTGCGTGCAAACACGACAACAGAAAACACAACGCAGCACAACTATTGAGTTTTGAGTTGAATGCACCGTTTGACCAAATTATGGCTTTGTACCCCCAGATGGATGCAAGGCATAAGTATCTCCTCGAGCAGTTGGCAAACGCCCTCAACATTGATTCTTCGGCCGTTGAAGAGTTCATGGTCTCGGACGATCGGGTACGTACTAAAGTTAATGTACACTTATTAAAATTGAAGATATTTTACGTTGCCATCGATACATTTAAGATCATTTAGGAGGTGGGCTGCATTGCCAACTCGGGCCGAGAGGGGGGATGGATGCAAAGTCCCATAAAAAAACGGAGATACTCGATAAAAAAAAGTAACTCATTCGGGACTCGAACTCACGTTTTCTGTATGCGACGGCGAATCGTTTCACCACTACGCCACAGACACCGATGCTGTTGGAGGATCAGGTCGGGTCGGGTCGGTTTGCAAGCCGGATTGAGTGCGCAAAGCGGCTATCGTGGCACAAGGTTTGTTCTCAGGCGACGAGTCGGCGATTGACCAGACCCCACCCCAACCGACCCGATCCCATCCATAATGCGCACACGGTATTATGCTACGCCTCCCGATTTCACTGAAGCTGCAAAGCCGACAGGTGGAATAAATGTGCAGTGCTTTAGCATTCTAAAAGTTGCTGATTGATAAGAGTTGGTTGATTTGGTCACTGAGTCATTTGATATTTTTGAAAGATAGATCTATATATTATTTTGGGGTACTTAAAAATATGAAGAAATGAAGTGGGGATGCCCCCTACAACAGCAGCAGCAGCACTTGAAATATCTAAAAAAATTGCTGCTACGGAAGGAGCAGCAGCAGTGTTAGTATAAGCAGCATAGCAACAACAGTAGCAACACTAATAACAACAGCTACAATAGCAACAACAACAACAACAACAACAACAACAACAACAACAACAACAACAGCAGCAGCAGCAGTTGGGGTTAGTTTAGATTCTCTCCCCCTCTCTCGCTGTCTCTTTTTCACCGCATTTGTGTGTGTGTGTGTGTGTGTGTGTGTGTGTGTGTGT